AAAACGTGGCGGCTTGTTTTGTACTGCTACGGGGTCCCGGTTTAACACAGCCACTACTCCCCTGAGGGCCTCAAAACGTCCCCTTTAAGTTATTAAAGGCAGTAATAAGGGGTAGCTACACTGAGCCAGGTGGGAGCCCGCAGGTCAGCAGTGGCTGCTGGTGCTCATCCCAGGAGGGGGATGCTGGTGAGGGGACGTGGTGCTGGGGGTGCTCTGTCCTGCAGTCTTGGGGGCTGCCAGCAGCCACTGGAGAGGAGCTCTTCACGTGCAAGTGCATTGCTGTGCAGCTGCACTGGGAAGGTACCAGGGAAAAACAATACAAATATACCTGCCAACCGATTGTATCTTAAGGAGATGCACAAACTTCATCTGCCTTGTGATTATTTTATACTGAAGAACAGGCGTTACCAAGCTTTTAAATTCACCTCTTCTTGTCTTTGCAGTTTCTTGTTACTTGGCTGCACGCTCGCACGACAGGTAAGAAACACTCCCAGGCCCGGCCTCCTGGCTGGGTGTCCAGGCCGTGCCCCAGGTCTCTTGGGGAGGGCGCGGTTGGGGATTTACGCCGAGCAGCGAGTCAATATATCGGATGACACTGTGATAAACACACAGAGGAAATGATGCCCTTCCCCCTGCTTCTCATGACAAACAACGTCTGACTGTCCTGCCCCTTCAAAACGGAAGCTGTGGCCCTTTGCTTTACAAGGAATTGATCTCAAAGGGAGTGATACCCCTTAAGCAACAAGTCTGTGTGAGCTCAGGCAGCGGAGGGGAGGTGTTTCTGTGTCTGGCTGCAGCAAGGCCTCGTTTTCCCTGCTGGGAAGCATGTGCGGGACTAAACGCAAAGGCTCCCCCAGGGCTGTGCCCTTGTCAGTGAGGCGGCTTAACTCCTTCACATTGCAGAGCTGCTGCAGATGCATCCTATGTGGGGATGCCTCTCTGTCCAGAGCTTTTGCCATGATAAAAGAGTAGAAAGTAATCTTTTTTTGTAATTGGAAAAAAAATTAATAATGATCGTCAAGTGAGTTAAGGGACCTGTTTTGGATGTACGTGAGACTCGTCCCTTGGCTGGGTCATGATGCAAGCTTTGCACAGCAGTGTCCGAGCCAGCAGTGTGGGGCACTAGGGCCACGTGCACTTTGTGCTAGGTTTGGCTGTGGCTATATGGTGGATCTGTGCCAGCGATGGAGGAAAAGCGATGAGCCTGCCTGCAGAGAGAGGGTGCCAGGTCTGCGATGCAGCTAGCCTGGGGGGTGACCTCTGCATGGTTATCCTTCACCACCTTGCACCTTTGCAAGGAAAAGCCTCTGGGGAGCCGCTTGGGAATGAACAGCTGAAACTGGGTTTTGGGTCCTGAAATGACAGCTGCCTTCCAGAGCGTGCCATGTCTTGAACTGGCAGCAGGGGGCCAAAGTCCCACAGGCAGTTCCCTCTGTGGGATCTCGGTGGGAGCCGTGTTTGCGGTGTTGTGACCGGTGGTTAGGTGTGATGGGGAGGTAGATCAGGAGGCGTCTTGCAGGGAGCGTGCAGCGAGGATGCTCTAACAGCAGCCTGCCATTGCAAGGGTCTCTGTGGTGCTGAGCTCTCTGGCAAGTGTTTGCTGGGGCTCAGTGCCTCACTAGATGTATCAGCCCCATCAGAGAAACCACAGGTGTGTCCCCAAAGCACAGACTGTTTTCTGTCAGCAAACATCTCTGTTGGTGTCTCTGCTCCTCTCTAGGGCTATGCTGCCTTATTGCTGGGTGACACTAAGCAGGGAAGCAATGCCCCAGGATTTCACCTTCTGTGCTTTTTTCATGGTGGGGCACTTCCACAGCTGCCTGCATTGGGTGGTTGTTCCCCAGCTGGCTGGGGGCAGGCACCTGCAGCCCCAGTGGGTGGGTATGGGCTTGGTCCGTGACACCAGGGAGTTCTGCAATGCACTCTTGGCACTGGCGTTGTCTCGTCCTTCTTTTTGTACCCAGGCTCACAAAGCACAAGCCACTTCCCAGCCACAGGGATTTCAGACCTGGGACACTTGAGCAGCAGGAGCAGACAGCGGTATCTGATCTTCCTGAAAGGTTTTGCTCTGATGAATATTCAGTAAAAACATTTTCACCTAGGGCACAGACCATGTATATTTCCGGGTCTCTATAGCATCTAAGACCTCTGTGCTAAACAGACTGAAATAAAATGATAAATAAAAAAAATATGTCTTCACCTGTGCTCCTAAAGCCATGTGGGAAGAGTGCTGTCTCCATGGTGCCTTTTAGTAAACCACAAGAGTGCTGGTAACAGGTGTTTCTGTTCATCTGGGCTCCTGTAGGCTGGGAGATCATCCATCTCCTACCTGCTGGGGTTGCATGGCATGTTATTAACCAGAAAAGTACCTTCCCCCTCTCTCTGCCATGTCCCAAAAGGACCCTGCAGTGAGGGCAGAATTGCAAAATCGTGTCTCTGCAATCCAAGAGATAACAAAAATCCATGGCCTGGTGAATCCACCAGATTAAATGGATGGAAAGTTACTTGGAGAGAGAGATCCCTTAAACACACTCTCACAAGGGATGGAGGCAAAGGCACGGGAGTTCCAGAGTGTGTTATATAGCTTTGAGTACAGCAGTAGCTTCTTTATGCTTTCTTGGTTTAACTATGTTTAATAGCATGTTTGTCCTTTTCTGCAATTTTGACAGGATACGAGAACTTGCAGAACCCAAGAAAGCAGCTTGTGCAAACGATCCCAAGTAAGGAGGTGCCCAGACAGCTCTGGCTCGAGGGCTGGGGACTGATGGGGCCTCAGCCGGTGCAGACCTTTGCCTTTGTCTTGCTACTGCTTTCCTCTCAAGAGCAGAAGTGGCTCCAAAAAAACAGATTGAGATGTTCAGTGTGTGAGGGGCTCTCTTCAGTTTGCTCTTTCTTGTTTTCAGTCGAAAAACTGGGCTTGACCCGAGTCTTGCCTTTGCTGCCCCACTGAGATATTGCGGGGTAGGATGGTGCTGTGGTGCAAGGGGACCGGACCTCGTTGGAGCCACAGGCTGCTGTATCCTGGAGGACACAGTCAAGTTTTAGGAACAGAGTTGCTGTCTGCGTTATGGGGTCAATCTATGGCTTGACAAGCTAGGGCAACAGACTCTCGATAACGTCTCTTCTCCACTGTCTGGATGGGTGTCACTGTGCTTGAAAAAGGCTCCACAGACACATCATCTTGCTGTTCCCTGTCCTGACTACCCTGGTACCCTCTCCCACCATGGCCTCTCTCTCAGTGGGGGATGAGTAGCTCCAAATTTGCCCTGGGCACAGGAGAGTAACCACTAACGTGCTGCAAAACCTCACCCACTTTCCATGGCACACCCTGACCGTAACATTATTATTATTTTTACTGTCATACCTGTGGTATAGTTAGGTGGTAATGGTGAGGCAAGAAAAATGCAATTATGAAACTCCCCCAGGGGTTTCAAAGATGTAACGAAACGACCCTTTCTGCACATCCACTGGGAACTGTAAAACCAGACTCATCACTTGAAGGCTCTTTTCTTTTTTTGTTAACAACAACCACCTGGACAGCGTTAGGAGATTCAGTGCCAGAGAAGATGAGTGCTCAGGGCATGGCAGCAGCACTTTACAGCTGTGGGGAGCCGTAGGGACTGTGTGTGTCCCATCCTAGGCAGGGAAGGATAGCCCCAGCAAGCACATTTCACGCTTGTGCATGTTTCTAAAATTTCACACCCTTGCTGTTCTTGCTAGGCTCACATGGGGAAACCAAGAGACCATCTGGACCCTCTCGCGAGGTGCTGTGACAGCTCAACCATCCCCAAGGACAGTGGCACTGGCCAAGCCCAAGCAAGATTTTGGCAAGCACCAGTGCAGGTCAGTGATGTGGTAGCACATCCTGGGGAAGGAGGCAGCTCAGATGGTGCTCTCTAATCAGGGGGATGTGCTGGCTCTCAGGGGAAGGGGAGATGCCATCTCCTCTTTTGCCACCGCTGCCCCACAGGTGGCTCCATGCCACTGAGACACACCAGGCTGTACTGATGGTTGGAACGGGCCATCTGTAGCAGGGAAGAAAGTGCTATGGGAGCATAGTCACCCTGAGTGCTTGACTTCTAAAATGAGGAGGAACTGGGGGGTGCTAAGTTTTGGTGCCCTTTTATTTCCTCATACCCGCTTCCTGGCTGTGGGAAGGGCTTCTGCAACACGTGGTGGTTGCTGGTCTGATTAGAGCTCTGGGTTCAGACTAGCTGCTGTAGGAGCCAGCCTTGATCTCAGTCTCCAAGGTCATGGGAGCATGTTCTTCTGCTGTAATGACAACAACAAAAAAAACCCAACAGCTCTGCTTCGGCTTGGAAGCAGAGACATCATGTGCGTGCATGCATGCATGCATGCCTTGATGGAAACATGTATGTGTCATACCTGTGCCTACAGAGGGACCGTCTGTCCCTAGGCTGTCCCCTGTCTGTATTGGGGCTGATGCAGTCCAGCCAGGCACCTTAGTGAACCCCTGCATCCTCTTGGAGCCAGGCCTAAATCTTGAGGATAAAGGTTAGGAAGTGATAGGAACAGAGAAATCTTGCAGCATCCTGCCGGCTGGAGGGAATCCAGGTCTCTTGCCCTGAGTTAAACCTCTGCTGTCACTGCATGGTGAACAACCAAAGCAGTCCATGTTTGGGAATAGGAGTGAAAAATGATGTAAAAAATGTAAACTTCAGTGGGGCTGGGTGATGCTGCATTACTTGAAGCAACTCATCTCTAGCTCTGTTGGAGGGGATGAAGCTCTTTTGGAGACAGGATGGTGGTTGCTAGTCTGTAAGAAGTCCTAGCAACGAGAATGGAGACGAAACTGTGTTGCACTCCTGGCTTTCCTCTACCTGGAGGGATGTCAAGACACGCGTGTCTGTAGTTTTCTCTCCTCTGCCACTGTCATCAGTTCAGGGGCTCTCATCCTCCTGAGAGCTTCTGCCTCTGACTAATGGTGTCCATCTGACAGCCCTTCCTGCCTTTCTGCTTACCTCTGCTCACCTCTTCCCTGGTGATGACAAGCATCTGCCAACAGCTGTGGCTGATGGACAGCCGGATGAGCATGCACTAGGCAAGCCTGGGGACATCCCAAGATGAAACGAGCTGCAAGAGCATAAGGTGCTATTAAGCCATGCAACAAAGATGTTTCTAAATTGGCAGCTTGCAGAGCTGAACAACAGAGATGCTGCCAGGTTTGTGTTGTAGAGTGGCTTCTCGAAATGGTCCAGGGAAAGGCCTAGACTTTGAAAGCAATGCGCTGAGGGTGCTTAAAAGAGGACTCTTCATATGCAAACAGCGTTTACCTTTAAAGTCAGGAAATCTCACGTGTAAATGCCCATTTCTTCATGGCTTTTCCATGTGCACCAGTGCCAACTTTTGCATATGCAGCAGGCATGGATGTTTAGCCAGACTTAGGACACCATCTGCCAGGATCACGTTTTCTGTCAGTTGCCTTTTACTACCCCTTCTGTGCTCTTCCTCATGATCCCTCTTCTTGTACAGCTGTGGACGAGAATCAACGACCTGGGAGTGTCCCCCACTAGTGAATTTTGGCTTCCCTTCTGATCGTCTGCTGAAGTTGTCTGAACCTAAAAAATACCAGGCTGCTTACCTGCAGCAAAGGTGAGAGGCCAGAAAGCCTGTAGGGTGCTATAGGTAGGCCCTTGGGTCTTGTAGCATCAGTGCAGCTTCAAAGTAATAAATACAGGAACAGGGGATGGGTACAACAGAGGGCAAAATGCAGAGCCGTGACTATGCTGGGATTAGGACCTCTGGACTCTCATGGGATGAATGGGTTCTATGCTGGAAATGGCCACAAGACAAAGCTGCCTTCTACTGCAGCAAACATGAGGCTTAAGCATCCCAGCTACAGCCTGGTTTAACCAGTGGGGGGGAATATGCGTGAGTGGCGGTGGGGGGGACATCCCAACTGCATCCTGGTTTAACCAGTGGGGGGGAACATGTGTGAGTGGCGGTGCCATGACTCTCTGCTTCCAGACCTTGCCAGTCCCCTGAGTGGCCCGTGTCGCCAGCTGCACTGAGCTATAAGGCCTCCCCACGGATCCTGGAGCTTGCCCGGCCGAAGGCGCTGCACCCAGAGTTCCTGCTGGCCAGAGAGGTGAGGAGGTGGTTGAGTGAGATTTGGAGGGGACAGCCATGCAGCAAACTGTCCTGAGTTTTTACACCCTGTATCCTGCCCCGGATGTGCCCGGTGTGTGCTATGGAGGCGAGAAGCTATCTGGTTCTGCTGGGGTTTGTGATACTGAGAGAAACTGCTTTTTTGGAGTGAGATGCTGTCTTTGAAAATCTCCCTGCTGAGAGACAGAAAACAGCCAGGCTGGAGCAGCCTAGAATAGCAGGAGAGCCAAGGGAGGAATCTGGGTTGCATCCCCTGATAAAGCAGCCTGGGAAAGTGGAGAATCCTGATGGGAGTGGCCTGTTTAGCTCCTAGGGAGTACAGTCGTGTTTGTAGTTGGGCAGCTGTGCTCCTATCTGTGTATACAGGGGGGATGAGCCTGCAAACACTATGTATATTTTAACAGTGTTTTACCAGAAGCCTAATTTAGAGATGTATTTCTGAACGTGCTCCTTTTAGGCGGGTCATTGCTTTGGCAGGGGTGAAAGGGCTTGGGGCAATCTCAGATTACAGTCATTTCCATGGCAAAGGCTAAGTTTTCTGGCTGCAGTCTCTGGGCTGGGAAATAAGGGAGGCTGTGCTGGAGCGGGCCTTGGCATCAGTAACCCTGTGAAAAGTAGGGGGAGAAGTCCCATGCTGGAGCAGTAATCACTTTTGCTGTAGGAATGCAGTCAACTGCACCAGCACTTTTACCCTGAAATCTGAGCGTCTCTCCTTAGTAAGGAAATTATTTGATTCAGCCAGGAAGATGAATGTGAAAAACATTTCTCTACTCTGAAAGAAATTTCTCTGCACTTTTACCGGGCTACACAGGCTCTCATTACAGGCATTCCTCTCCTGGCTATGAGTGGGTGACAGTTGGGGAAAAAAGTAATATTGGCCAAGACGTACAAATTCCAATAGCGCCAAAATTACCTTGTAGTTCAGGTGAAAAAAGGATAATGGGTGCTGGGAAAGTAAGAATGCTCCTTCTTGTGACCATGTCTGTAGAGGAAGGGTGCTGGGTGCTCATCGCTTTGGAGAGGGAGTGTGTCCCTGTGGGCTGCTGTGGACGAGCTCTGTGTCTACATCCCTCCCGCATTCTGAACCCATGTAGGTGCCCACACAGGTTACAAATGTTGCGGCCTTGGCCAGAGCATCCTCACGGTTACAACGTCTTGCAGAGCCCCGTGTCAGGAAGGTGACCTGCTGCTACAAGCACAGCTTTCCCGAATCCGTCATCCGTCCGGTAAGGCAGCATCACACGGGACCATCACGCCGGGCAGAGGGCACTGGGTGCCCAGTCGCTGGTGGCTCTCTTCATGGCAGCCCTGGATGTGCTGCCGTCTGTGAGGCTGATGTTGCTGCTTCCTGGGCTGGAGAGCAGGACTCGTCCTCCATCCAGAGCATGAGCTGGCTCCCAGCAGACATCCCCAGAGAAGGGCAGACCTGTGCCTAGCCTGCAGTTGTGGGGATGGGGAGAGCTGGACAAGTGCCTAATTGGGATCTCCAGTGCTGGGGGATGGGTTGTACAAAGGGCTATGAGCAGGAGGAGGTTGGAGGGCAGGTTGTGGGACTGGCCAGGCAGCGGTTTCTCCTTCCACAGCTTGTCTGGTGCCAGACACAACTGTGGGCAGGATCATGTCCCATCTGTGCGTGGTCAGTGGCTGTGAACCTGGGTACACCGAGTTGCAGGCTGGTCACCCTTGAATGCCAGGAGCACCTGTAAGGACCTTCCTCCCCATTCTTCCACAGGTTTCCAAGTTGGCTCAGGAGGCAATTGCGAGCCCTCGGACCCTGGAGCTGGCTAGGGCAAAAGGATTGCATCCCGACTATGTGCCCCTGCGGGATGCTGAGTGGCCAGTGACGAAGGCTGCAAAGCACGCAGTGGCCACACCAAGGCTCATGGAACTGGCCCAGCCTTGCAAAAGGTAGGTGCTGCTTCCCTGCCATGGGGAAACGATTCAGCCCATTTTGTGCAGGCCATGGCACCTTGTTATTTGGGTTTGGCCAGCGTGATTAAGCCACTGCTCTTCCACTTCCAAAATGCATCGATTTTGTATGGCTGGATGTGCTAATGCTACATGGATTGTGGTTTAAAAAGCATGGTTAAGGTGGAAGGAGAACTAAAAGAGAAGAAATAGGAACTTTCTAATTCCAGTAGGAATTACTGGTTGGGACTTCTTAATTATTAACTAAAAAGCATCCGGCTGACACATGGCAGAGTGTAGTACATTCATGTTGCCCAGCATTCTATTCTATGATTCTGTGATGCAGCTGGCCTCAGCCTGGGCTGCAGGAAGTGCTGCGTAGGATGTTTCACAGAGGGTGAGGGAATGCCTGGCTGTAGTGGCTGTGACAGCTTCAGTGAGAGACGGGGCCCCCCTTCTCACTAGTGTCCTGGTGACAGCAGCGGAGGCATGACTGCTTTTGTCCTCCCTTGACAGGGAAGGGCAGGGCTCAGGTGGAGGTGTGTCAGCTGGCAGGCAGCTTTGAGAGCTGGCCTTGCTCCAGTTGGAATTGACTGGCTCTGTCTTCGCTCCCCCAGGCCTCCTATGGGCTCGGCTCAATTCAACCCAGACGCGTTCACAGTGAAGGAAACTGCTAAGAAGGCAACTTGTTCTGCTCGGATCCAAGACCTGGCTCGTCCAATTAAGCACTGAGCTCCCTCGGAAACACAGGCTGCTGCTCGTGCCGGCTGCCCCCATCACCCCTTGGAATATCACCCTTTTTGGGCTGTGCTTCCACCTGTGGCTGGAAAACCTGCTTGAACATGGCGCAGAGGCAGCATCCAGCAGGAACGTTTTCTTACGAGCAGCCACTTTTACTGGGCTTATCTGGGGAGTTAAATAAAATGGTCATTCCTTAAGAACAAAATAGTCACCAGGGGAAACGAGCAGAATTTGACCTAATGTGGGAAGCTTCTCTCCCTGGGACGGGTTATGTCTGGAGTTTATCACTCCTCTTATTTTTTTGCTGTAATAGTTAAAGAAGTAATGAAACAACTGCTGCGGGAAGCCAGCACAGGAACTGTTCTTTCACATAAAGAAGTGTGGCAAACCACAGCCGACAGCGCGCAGTAGGTTGATGCAACACAACTCCTGACCTTGGGTTTCAAAATTTTTGCTAAAGTTTAGAGATCTTCTTAGTGACACTCAAAGTTTTGTGCTTGTGCCAGAAGTAGAAGCACAAAAGGCTGCAAAATTCCAGATCCAGGGCTGGATTTGATAAGGTGCAAAGCTTTAGTACAAACTTTGGAAATATTGGGGTGGCAAGTGCGTTGGGTTGGCTTGAATTTGGGCCCTGTTTTCTCAAATGCCTGGAGAATGGGCAGATCCAGCCTTTTGCTTTGCATGCGTCTTTGATACAAGTTATACGGGTGGGTTAAATCTGTGCGGTTCAGATATTCAGTTGTGTGACCCTGGGCAAAATAATGGAGCTCTACATTGGGATTTTTGGAGCCTAACTCAAAAAAAGCAGAGTCCCCCTCAGTGCAAGGGAGAAGGCACGTTGCAAAGACTAAGAAGAAAACAGACATCGGTGCCAGGCTCTGCAGAACAAACTCTGAGCTCACCCTGAGAGTGAGTCAGTTTGGCAGCTGGATTGCAGGGGAACAACACAGCCTGTGTAGGACATGGCACAGGGAGATTGCTTTTATCTGTTTCCTACGAGTTTGGTGTGCTTTGCACTGGCAACCTAACCACTGGCGATGGGCTGGAGATACTGAGGTAAGAGAGATGCTCACCAGCAAGGGACAAAAGCCATAAATGAAAGCATGTGGCAGTTTCAGTGCCAGTATCTTAATCTTCCCTGTGTTAAGCTGATTCTCCTTCCAAAGGAGTAGGGGCAGGTGACCACAAACTGGAAGAGGATTAATCAGAGGATCCACTAATTGATTCAATAATCCACTAAGCAGAGGATTTTTGAACCCTTTTGAACAAGATAAGGTCACTGGGCAATGGTGCTGGTTATTTTTTAGCCCATGCATTGTCCTGTACCAGGATGGATGAGAGTTTGGGCGAGTTTGAGCTTTGTGCAAGAGCCCCAGCGCAGCTGCATCCCTCAGGCTTGAGAATGGCCAGAAGGAGGCTGGGGTCTGCCCTACCCCCCTGCCCCCCCCGCGGGGCAACCCCAGCACCACCAGCCTCTGCCACCTCGGGGCTTGGGGTGCATGGGGGGCTGTGTGGGCTGCCAGGGATGGACCCGTGGGTGCCCTAGAAGAGGAGGTTGCCCATGTCTGCAGGCTATCCCTGCGGCAAGAGGGAAAACCCACGGTGTGCACTGAGGCCGCCTTGGAGAAGCGTTGCCCTCCCAGAGGAGTCTGCCTCCTGCCATTGGGGCAGGGAGCACAAGCAGGGACATAACACAGCTCCTCTCATCAAAAACTTTGGTATTTTATTAATGCATTGGAAAAAGAAAAAAAAGGCCAGTTCTTTCCCTTTGGTGACCTTTAACAGAAATGTGAGAAATGCATTCAAGGGGGGCTTGGCTTGGTCTGATCATGGTGTAGGCACTTGGTATGCCAATATCCAGAGCTGACTTGGGCATCTTGAGCTAACCAAGATCACCTGAACAACACATCTGGTTTTCCAGGTGCCCTCCTCTCTGGATGATCCGTATATTAAAGCTAGCACACATACTTTGCCTCTGGGGGTCACAAAAAAAAGAAATCTTTTTCCCCCTTCTATATTTGAACCTTTCATGGCAGCTTTTCTGCAAGCCTGGGACAGGGGCATGAGATTGCTTTGCCCTGTGCAGCCGCTCTTACTGGATGGGAAGCACTAGACAGGTTATATACAGCCATCAGAAGCTGTATACACAGATACATATAATAATTTTTTCCTGGTTATGTACACTTTAAATAATAATTATGTTAAATAGCAGGGTATTACTTTGTATCTCAAAACCTATTGCAACAGAAGAATCCCAAGGAAACCCACTCTGAAGAGCGTCACCATCATTTACAGCAGGCATGGGGATCGGAGCAGCATCCTCTAGTCCCTGACAGACCCGCTTTCTGAGGGCAGTCCTTCAGACTTCCTCCACTCTGCCAGACGCTGCTTGAACCATTTCTGGAGGAAAAAAAAAAAACAGCAGAGATTGAGTGCACTGGGCCGAGCGAACCCTCCGAATAGCTTTGCTAAAGGTGCAGATGTGGTCAGCACACGGGACCAGGCGAGGGAAACTCATGGCACCGCTATCTTGTGGCAAGGCGCCGTGCTGTTCCCAGGCAGTACAGGCAGCAGGACAGCTGCTCCTGACCGAACAGTCTTGTTACCTATGCGTGCACCTCTTTCAAACTCATTTCTCTTGCTCACTTCAGACCTTGACAGCATGGGTGAGTCCTTGTTTTATTGCTGTGAGTCCAGGTTTTTCTTGCAAACAGAGTAAGAGAGTGGTTAAGGAGCTGCTGGATGGTGTCTGTTTAAATGGCTGGAGCAGTGAAACAATCACTGCAGGTCCAAAACCGACAGGAATCAAAAGTTGACCTGCTTCAGAAAGGATGAGAGGGACAACACAATGGCTCTCAGCAAATTTAAGAACAAATAGATTTAAAAAATGGGTTAAAAATGATCTTAGTCTTCAAGCAATATGCATGGCTACGTTATTCTGTAGTAACTTCGCATCTCTAAGCCAACTCCCAGAGCTGCTGATGCCACTTCAACATGGCCTCAATTTAAAATGTTAGATAAAACGCGGTTGGATAAAGCCACACTACCTCCGTAAGAAGAGAGATGTAACTCGTGTGTGCCGGAAGCACAGCTCAGCCTTTTGTTTGGGAATGTGCCTGTGATTTGCTTTGTTGCTGCTCATTTTGTTGCTATATTTGTTCATGGCTATTTTTGAAACTATTGTGGTCCGTAATGATAGAACCACGGTGCTCTCTACAAGTGACTCTCGCACTAGCACTGCCCTGGACCACATCCAGTCAGATGATTGCCTGCCTAGCCTCCTCCCAAAAATTTCACTTCCTGTCCTAAACCATCATCTCCTGTTGACTCAGTACCTCTTTGCATCTCATTTTTACTAAATTTTTTATTAAAATGGCTGCTATATCTAGCCGATAAAGCACTCCAGATGTCAGGAGCGATGATTCTCTGTGTCATACGCAATGCAGGCACTTTGCAGCTCACCATCCCAGTCTCGATCCTGTCCCTAACATGACCTTCATCTCCAGATCTCTAGGAGCACCTTGGATTCGTGGAAAAAGATGGCTCTCAGAGAAGATTTTAAGACCTCTCTAGAGGTGTCCTGGGCATACATGGCCTGTGTTTACAACTTGCTTTAGGAAAAAAAAATGGAGCAGTGCCATTTCTAAGGAGAAAAAGGTATTTCAGGGGTACTGCCTCCTTGTTACCTCAAACAAGCAGTGCAATGTGATACCCGCCTCTCACCAAAGCACAGTAGAGGAGGGGTCTCCTTTTCCACTCCAGCCAAGGACTATCAGTACGATGGATGTCATATCAGCCTCCTTCCCTGGGACAGGCTAAATGCTGGCATTGCCTGCTTGGCTCTCATATCCCTTTGGCTTTGCCCAGGGACACCCAGGCTTGGCAGCTCTCTGCAAAATGCTGCTGAATTTTCAGTGGGTTGGATTTCTTTTCGGTACCCATCAATGCTGCTATGTGTTTAGTAGCTTATAAAACACCTGCATCAAAAACGGCTGCACCGCAGGCTGAAGGGATTGGGAAGGAGCTGTTTGCTTCTGAAGCCCAGAGTAGCCTGCAGGTAGTCAGGTGGAGCACAGGGCTCGGTGGAAGTCCCAGACGGTGGCAGCCTGTCCCTGTGGAGGGACATTTGGAGGCCTCTGTGTCTCCTGGAGAGGCTGACAGACTTGCCCGACATCTGGGCTTGGGGTCACTGAACTAGCTAATTGCAGTGAGGGGGAGTGTGCACAGCCTGAGCACGTCCCACAGCACATCTGCAGGAGTTGCACCTATTCTGTATCTGTTTTAAAATGACTGTAGTTTCTTCAGACCATAAAGCCAGCAGTGGTTTAGGCACCCTAAACCGAGACTATCAGAAATGGGTTGGAAGGAAAGGACAGCATGCATGGGTTGTATATATTCAGGGCTCCACAGCCAGCCAGTGACCCTCAGCGTGTGCCCTTGTTCTGGCTGTGGGAAGCACTAGCCTGGTCTCCAAGTCCAGGGCTCCCGGGCAGGGGGGGCACAAGGGTCCCAGTGGGGCATGGGGCTGCTATGCAGTAGGCCACGGCTGTGGGATGAAGGGGCTGCGATTACAGGGGAAGGGGCTTTGGGGAGGCAGGGGCAGACACGTGGGGTGCAGGGAGGATGTGGGGTACAGGGAGGTGCGGTGGTGCAGTAGAGCTCTGTGGCTGCAGTGTGGGGTTGGGAGTGCACCGGGGATTGCAGAGGTGCAGAGGAGACTTGTGGGTGCAGTGTGGGGTGCAGTAAGGAGTATGCGGGGTGCAGAGCGGTGCAGAAAGTGTAAGTAGGGAGCGTATGGGGCACAGAGGGTGCAGTGGGTGCAGTAGGAAGCATGTGGGGGGACAGAAGGGTGCAGGGGGTATGACAGAGAGCCAGGGACAGGACAGGCAGGAGATGCGGGGGGAGTGTGTGGGGCACAGAGGCATGCAGGGGGGGCAGGGCTGGTGCCAAGGCAGGGGTGAGGGGCACACACTCACCAGGGTCTGCTCCTC